GTTCAACTCGTATTACATTATAATATATTATAATAACACGGCAATCGCTGGACTCGGAGTTAAAACAGAACATTATAAACAAATCCCCTTCCACACAGCATTCAACGTATAATAATATTTTGAATTTTTATCATCATGCGCCAATGCTGATTATTAAATAATATCGGACTATCGTTTCGAAACATTCTCGGCAAATTCGCACTTTTTTAGACACGGAGGAACGTTTAAAAACACATTAAACAACAATAATTCGTCGAACGAGGTCACTGACTCGGCGACTTTAATAGTATAGGTATTATATTATGTGTATATGAGAAATGTGAAATTATGACTAAATATAGGTAGGTTAGTACTAAGTATACGCTTATTAGCCCCCAGAAGAAAGAAAAAAATGTTTATGTTCCACAGATGCTGTTGTTGTAAATACTAAATAATATTATTATCAATGTTCATTGCAGTTTTTATTTTTAAACCACATTTGCTGTACACAACATAAAAAAATCGTATTATGTCTAAGGCGTTTTCCATTGTTGGCATCGTCAAATAATTGTGCAACAGTCAAAAAAACTCAAAATGTGTATGCACAACAAAAAAATCATGCTCGTGATCTCAAAAATTGTATCATTTGGATCAAACACTTTAAACACGCCTCGATCTGTATTAAAAAAAAATTAAATAAATAAATAAACGAACGATTGAGAAATGTTTATTCCTGATTAGAAGTAGTTTCTATTGACCTCTTTACATTTTATCATAATAATAATATTGTGTTATTTATTTATTTAACATTATTCGGTCAGTGCAGAGTCCTACATGTGAGTAATAATAAGAGTACGAGACGATAAATTGTCAGATTAAAGTTATGAGACCTACCTACTTCGGAATATAGATATTGAGTATATATTTTATAATACAAATTTTACTTCGATAATCGTTTATCCTTGTTTCACTCGCTCTACTATTAGCTAAATAAATAACAATAAATTGGAAAGGGATAAATATTCAACATTTGCAGTCAAAAACAAATCAAGAATCTTTAGATCTGGCAGTTGTTTGCTGTCAAATGAATCAATGTCGATCGATTTTAGAACGTATATAATATTACATACGATATTATGAGATTAGTAGTCTGTGTTGAAAAAATAATCCATCGTCTCATGTGGTGATATTTTATTTTTTATTTTTACGCCGACCAACGTTTATAATTTTTTTAGAGATCTGAGCACCAACAGTATAGTGTCCCTGCACAAAGACACGTTTAAGGGACTGACAAACTTAACAGAACTGTAAGTGGAATTCCCTTACATTAATTATGTACCACGGTGTAATACGTGTGTGTTGCGCCCGAGCGCTATGCTAAATAACTTGCTTACGTGTACGTTTTAGGGACCTGACGGACAACGACATCGACTTTGTGCCCACAGCCATTTTCAACACGCTGGAAAACCTCACAAAACTGTAATATAATATTATATAATTTAATTTAATACCATTTTGTGTACATTGTCAATAGTGTAAAAATAATAAATCGTTTGGTACTCAACGTTTTAGGAGATTTCATCGGAATCACTTGATCGAAGTGCCATTGTTGTTCAAAAGAAACACAAAAATACAGATATTGTAAGTTTTTTTTTCTATTATTGATAGTAATAACTTCATCATGTTCATTTCGTATTATGTATACTATATTATTATATTATGACATGACTTGTGCTCTAACACACAAAATAGTATTTTTTTTTCTTCAAATGATTTATAGGTTTATTTCCTTGAAACTTTTTAATAATAATAATATATTATGATAAGCGAGTAATAGGTATTAATACAAATTATAATATCGTGTATTGATTTATTACATAATTTCAAGGTAATTGATCTAAATACTGTTACATAATATTATTATCAAGATACGCAAAGAGCTGTAACTCGCCAAATTAAAAACGATAAATTCTATAAGAATGGTATTCAAAAAATATATAGCTCTTTGCTACCAAGTTGACAATTAATGTATTTTTTAATAATAATAATATATTTATTCAGCCAAATCAATTAAAATTAAATAGTAACAATACATTAATAATGGTATTGGAACGACATTTCCAGCGTTTCAAATTTCATATTTTTTTATGTCCCCACTTTTTCATGAATAATTAAGTAACCATCCATTTCATAAAATATATCGATTACGTGAGTGAATATAATCATAATAGTAATTGAACTCATATTTTAATTGTACGGTGTTACATGCAACTGTTTTATGTATGTATATTTATCAATACTATATACACTATTACTTCCTGATAACATATTTATTGTGACACCATTTCAATTAAAATACGTTTAACTTTCTACATCGCGCTCTTCGCACTATTATTATAATGGTTTGAAATATTATATTTTCTCATTAAATAATATCAGTCTCTCTTCACGCACAACCTATGTGTGTTTTGTTGTTGTTTTCACATTCGCGAAGTATAGATAATTAATACGTCATGACTGATTTTTATTTCGATGAGTCAAACTAGTTGAGTATGACTAAATGAGTTTAATCATATAAAAGTAACTATACCGAGTAATATTGTACTGCAGTTTTCGCTAGTTTTGCCAGAAAAACATGGCATCGTCTTTAAACATTAGTAATTCATTGATTATCATGATATTCGTTTTTTCCTTACACACAAATTACTGTGCATATAATAATAACATTGTGCATATACTGATATACACACTATATACTCAGTAGAAAATATTATGAGATAATGAAAAATCGGCAAATAAGCTACTACTAGAAAAAAATGTATGACGAAAAAAGTGAATGAACGATTGGAGAAAGGCCGATTAAAATTTTTAAACCAGTTCTATGTTTATCGTTATATAATTGGTTTTTTGCATAAATCGTTTCATTTGCAGCTATATACACCACAACTTTATACATTAAAAAACTGTAATATAACGCGTAGGCAGTGAAGGCAGTTTGAAGGGTGTCAAATATATAATACCTATTGCTGTTTAACCGTGATAAAATATCATTACGATTTAAAATTTATTTTTTCAACGAATTTTAAACTTTCAAATTGCAGTTTTATTACAATTTTCTCTGCATGTAAGATTATACAGTACGTACTGTGAATTTAAATAAATTATAGTTCTTTCTATTCTTTCATCATAAATATAGAAACGAATGTATTATTATTTTATTTTTAGTTTTCGTTATAAAATAACACCAAAGCGTTAAACAGTACATATTTTGATCCAATTTATTACACTCGATGAAGAGTAATAGATAGTTATGAATATGATTTCACACGTTTGAATAATTAATATTCATCTATGTTCCCAGTTTTAATTATAAGTTATTGAGATTCTACTTTGCATAATTATTGAGTTTAATAAATACAAATTTAAAATATTTACTAACTCCATCGTGATAATACGTGACGATAATAAATACATAATAATTATTATTAGGTAAATACTTGTATTATGTTTGAAATTTTTGAATAAATTACTAATAAATATAATGACAATATACTTAAATGTAATAATTGTATAAGGTGACTACTACGTATCCTCGAATGATAAAGATGAATGTGTAAAATTTCAGTGAATAATTCATAGACTAGTTTGAATTTAAGTTATTTTATAATAATATGGTGTATTATAATGGAACTGCTTATTAAGGCACAGTATTATTAACAGGACTTTGTGCATTTCGTATATTTGTTTCGGTAGTCAAGAAGATAGCTCAGTTCCGTGTGAATAAGTTACTAACAAATTAATTAAGTATTCGGATTGAAATGTTTTTAGCTTATAATAATATAATAATATTAATTGTGCATATTTAGTCATACAATTTAAATAACATGTTTCGACTACTTCAGCATATTTCAGAGTTCATTGACGATTTGACGAAATATTATAATGTACTATGTAGTACTTTTTTCTTCTTTATCTGTTCCATTCGAAAGCTATTGCATCGATAAACATACATCTGGTGTCATTATACTAACTGAATATTATTTTTTTTTTGTCTCATGCTCATTGTTGACTAATACGATTGATGTGTCGGTTTATCGATCTACTCTTCTTCATACGAGACAGATAGCAATGTGTGATCTTGTTTGAACACTCTATAATATTTCATTAATACAATATTATTTTTTCACATCGAACATTTCGCAGAGTTGACACAATTTAATTGAATATGTATTTAAGAAGAAAAAGCTTACCCCGCGATGTTATTGAAATTTAACGCAATGTATTTTCTCGCATAATATATTAATTAACTTTTATACTTTTTTTTTTGATAAAAATTTTTATTTATTAGGTATGTTATTATTATTATGATAATAAATTTATATTTTGCAAGCCATTGCTACGGTGCATAACTGTATCACGAATCATAATATTTTATAATTACCAAAACTTCACTGAATACTATTTACGGTTATGGGCTGCAAATTTATTTTCTTCGATTTATAGAGCCAATCATTTTTATGAGCTTTCAAAATCGTGATTCGACTTATTTTCTTTAACGATTCTCAGTTTTTTTAACATGGTAAACCATGTTAAAAAACAACCCGCAGTAATTACAAAATTCAAAGTAAAAAGTATACTAATCTGCATGGGCATTGAACAGTGATTATTTCCCGTTCCCAAATTGTTTGCTAATGTCTTGACATAATATTTCTACATAATATAGGTTTTTAAGAACGGGTAAATTATGTGAATTTTATTGGAAATGTTGTACCTACAATAGTTATAAATTGCCAAGTATAATCTTTATAGAGATATTTTACTATTCCCAAATTGTCTCGCTAATTATTTGATACCTATATCTATCTTATCTACCTACCTGACGATAATCTAATATTGGTATACGATAAAAGTATTATGTACTTTGTACACTCATATATGTCACGCTTTATAATAATATTAAGATCGATACACAGTGTAAGCGTGTAACCAGTTTGAACCATATTGTATGTACACACAGAGACATGTCGATGAACCATATAAAACAACTGCCGGAAACGTTGTTTCAATCGACAAAAAACTTGGTGCTGTTGCATCTGTACGGAAATAAGATAGAAGTCTTTCCAAAGTCGATATTCAAAGATCTCAGCCTACTGGAAGACCTAGACTTGTCGGCGAACTCATTGTTGGAGATATCGTCCGACATATTCCGAGGCGTTTCGTCACTTAAGCGGTTGAAATTGCAAGAAAATCAACTGCAACAGTTGCCGTTGGGTAAATGCAAAAATCTATTGCAATAACCGCAAGGTTAAGTACTCAAATTACGGATTTTAAATCATGATGGCGTTGTTACGTGGGTTTTTTAGGGGTGTTTGATGACGTCGAGTATTTGGAAGTCTTGTCATTGAGGAACAACCGCATATCATTTATTCGTCCCGGACTGTTCAACAACATGCGTAGATTGGTGTATCTGGACTTGACTGAAAACTGGATAAATTTAGTGAGTGATAAGTGATTTAATATCATCGTAACTAATTATTATTATAATAATGGTCGTGACTAAAACAACAATATTATCATACCCATGACCCATCACTTTTTGTTTCTGCTTGTGGCTTAATATTATTAAATTGTTAACGCACAACATGTAGCTTAACGGCAACGAGTTCACCGACTTGGTAGCCTTGAACGAACTACATCTCGGTCAAAATTACTTGGAATTCATACCGGAACGGACGTTCAAGAATTTAGCGTCGCTCGAAAAACTTTACCTCTTCTCAAACAACATCCAACAGTTGGACGTCAACAGCTTTTATGGTTTGAAAAATCTTTCGTCGCTATTTCTCAACAACAACGTGCTAAAGGTTATTGGTGACAAGCTTTTTGAACCGTTGATGAATCTCAGAAAGCTGTAAGTTCAATAATTACAAATGTATTATTAGTTACTATCATAACTATCGAATACATATCATAATACTAATTATGACCCTTAGCATAAAAAGAATACGTATAATAATAAGTTTATATCTCACAAAATAAATTATGGTAAAATAACAATTTTAATTATTTTGTTATAATTCATAAAATATCAATCTAAACGACTGAAAATATTGTTCATGTTACAATGTTGCACAATGAAGGTTTAAAATATTTAAAATTAATTTTAAACTATTTATGCCATGAACTTATTTTATGGAATTTTTCTATTAATACAAGTTAGAGGTACATATTATTATGTACTATATATATATATATGTATATAATATATATGTTTTTTTTTATCAACAATTAGTTCAATCTACAGAATTAAAAAAAAATATTGATAATAATAATATAAAATATATTTTACATTGCTATCCTTAGTAATATTTATCAAATATGTACACTGTACACATTTGCTAATCCACCTGCTTCCTTAGCTTAGAATCATTTTTCATATACAGTCATTGATTACAATAGTATCTAACACATCATAAATTGCAGTGATTTACTCAATGACGAGTTACACTCGAATCCACTATACAGTGAATAATTTCACTTTTGACATGTTATGATATTATCATCGTACAATAAACCGAGTGTCTATAAAATTAACATTTTGAAAAATTAAGTAAACACACTAGTGTTATATTAATTGACCGATCGATTAATCATCGTTTGCTACTATATTTTAATAACAACAAAACTAAAAAGTGATTCTATGTCCTTGGAATGTGATAATAATTAACGAAAGGCATATCGATAGCTTTTGAGTGGAATTCTAGACATATTTCACGTTATCTTAAGTCGATATGGCACTGTACCTACTCGACATTGTTCAGAGGAACTATTTATTATTTTCAAAACTTTTTATGCATTAAAATATTAATACATGTATATTATGTCTACTGATTCAATACTAAACGAATAAATAAATTATGCTTAATATTAACATACCCTTAGGTATTATTTTTTATGAAACATGCTTGTGTAGTTGAAATAGAATGACAAATAATCGAAAATGTTTTTATTTTTTAGACACATCGACAGCAATAAATTCCAATTTCTACCAAACGATTGTTTTGATCACCTACCAAAGTTGGAATCTCTGAAACTCTCAAAGAACCCGTGGCATTGCGATTGCACAATATTATACTTGGCTAGGTAATAATGTCTACGATTTGGATAGATTGAGTTTTATTTAATTGTTTGTCATTTTGGTTAGTTGAGCACCTCAGAATTACGCATAACATCGTCACATAGGAATTGACATAGTTGCACCTACCTAGTACGAACGAATTAATTGATTAATTCGATATCCATTTTGGTGTGAATCCAATTTATTAAACTATGTAATAGCATATGTTTAGTGTGCGTAATAGTTAATTCACGAAGTTCTATTAATTGTGTCAAATAATATTGTTAAGCGAACAAAAATTAATAATTCTTAATGCGCAAACCGAAAACTTTTGAATAATTTTAGTATGATTCAATACAACAGTTATTCGACTCGACAAGCGACACCGCACAAGGTTTGATTATAATGTGCAGTTGTACACTAGAAAATGAAAAATGTCTGCTAGCCGCGTTACCGCCGTTACAGATTACAAAATTGTATAAATAGAAAACAGTAATCTGCGTTTACAATATTTTATCGAATTGATAAAATAATTTTACTGTCAAACGTACAGCAGGTACCTGTATATTTTTAACAGTATGACGAACCAGCAGCTGTTTGGTGTTCAATTTTTTTAAGATTACAATGAGTAAGATATATCATGTATATATACTATAGTACATGTATATACATCAATATTACCAATACGCTTGTGTGTAAGACATAATAATATAGTAATGCGTTGTTCGTCAGAGATAGGTCGTAGGTATAAGTATAATATAAAACCATAAAACAAAACCACGATTAGTGTTTTTTCAGCTTTAGCCGCAGCTTGTTGTTACAATACACGCCTAGTCGGATCCGTTAAAAAAAATAATATAAATTACATTTAAATTGACACATTTTGTGACAGTGTAGTGAATTAAAAAAAATAATAATATTATTACGATGGAACTTAATATCTTAATGTTTTTTACTACTTATCTATCGGCAGATGGCTGAGGGCGAACCGGCAAAAAGTGTGGGACTCGAACCCGACGTGTCGTGGTCCCAGGGACCTGGGTGGTAAGCCCGTCGAAGACATGACCTTTGAGGACTTGTGCGATGGCCAATGGGCGAGCATGGTGAAGCTCACACCTCGAGTGCCCATTCGATGAACGGCGGCAAATATTGTTATCGACTATCGCGTATTAATATTATTATTGTTAAATGTATTAATATTATATTGTACTGTGTCGGGAACAGCGATTGATTTTAATGGCTTTTTCTTGGCAATCCACGTTTGAGTATATTATATTGTATATTATTATATTATATTGTTGCGGCGGTGTGCGTGTGCGGACGCGTATTGTTTCTTTTGTTTTTAATTGATCGTACGGTTTAATTGCGCGTAGATAAGAAGGCGGCTGTTATCTGGGACAGGCACTGTGTAATAATTTTAACATTTATTATTATTATTATTTTTATTTTCCTTAATGTGCCACTCGAGAGTAATAATACAGTGTACAAGTGTACAAGCGTTAGTGTGTATGTGTATGTGTGTGTGTGTGTGTGTGTGTGTATGTGTGTGCAGTCATTTATAGATAAGAACAGTAAACAATTTTTGATCTTCGTCAAACATTTTTTTATTTTTCGTACTGCAGTCAGCAATAAGCGTTCTATACGATCAGTTCGAATCACAATAAAAGCAATAATTATGGTCGGCACTCGTGCATCGTTGTGTTATCTACTCTGTTCGATCCTGATTCTTCCCGCCAGCGGTAAATTCAACATTATTTATTTTACATAGTGCTTAAATTATGATAAATATAGGTACGCTGCAACTGTAGAAGTTCCATATTAAAATATTTTATTTTATACAATATACATGCATATTATGGTACACAAATCCGTGTATAATTCAACTTTGTGACGCTTGCTTTCAAATTATATGTTAAGTCAAATGTATAAAACATGCGAGTGTCATCGCATAGTTTGTTTTTCATCGTTGCGACTTGATTTTGGTTTTAGATTCAAATGAGTTAACTGATTTGGGACATCAAGTACCGACAAATTCCGTAAGTAATCCAAACAGTGCAAAGTGCATAACATATTATATTAAACTATATTCGAATACAAACACGAAGGTAGGTGCCTAATCCTACACAAAACGCCTAAACAACATGTTATTACTACCTCGATACAGATGTAAAATAGTTGAATTTGAGTTATTCTGCTTTTGGAAAGTTGTCATATTATTATGATAACATGCACGCGATTGCATTTTAATTGATATCTGCTTTTATTAGCTCTACAGTCTACATATTGTACTGCTGCCCGCTGCAGTTTAATATTCCCAAAGAATGTCAAATATGTCTAACGCATTATATTATAATTATTCTAACATGTTTCGATATACCCAGTACATTGTCCATAAATGAAGATGAACGACACTCGTATTAGCTTCAGAGAAGTATCATCAAATATTTTCTTTAATATTCAAAAATTGCAAAAAAAACTTCCCGTACAAAATCAATAATTATCTGGTATATAAAATGAATAATCAATTATAAAAGGCATCGTATTATTTTATGCAAAACTGAAAACATATAAAAACACACATTCAATGCTTATTAGTTATTAGTAAACACGGTACTTCGGTTTAAAAATATTACATAATTCCTGTACTTTTTTTAATAATTTTTCGAACAACAAAACAATATTAAAATATTATACAGTACCTATAGGTATATTGTTATTCATATAATGTATGTAAATACCATGAATACGTTTGAAAAAGTACCTACGCCTGAAATAACCGAGATTGTCAAAACCTAAAATGTTAATAATTAATTAAATTCGAGGGTGGGGAATAAAAAATGTAATTAACTTAATAACATTTCTCCTTGCAGTGGCTTATAAATCAAACTGCGGCACGACCACAATACCTATAATTAATTAATTTTATATTACACTATCGTATAGACTACAGTAGACTGTGAGTACTATATTATAATAAATTCACAGGTTCTATACCTGCGAACACACAATACATCGCACTACTAAAATATAACCTTATATTTCTGTAGTAAACCATAAATGATTAATGCTCGTTTATACGAAAACACACAAATATTCACAGTAGGTACTATTATATTAACAAACAAATACGTTGTGTCGATGTCATATTCAATATTGTACATGATAATATGTCTGAAACGTCTATGATATTATATGCTTTAATTTTTAAGATAACCTCTTATAGCTTCGTCATTTTCGATACTATTGTATGTATAAATTATAGTTATATTATTTTAATAACCACCAAAAGTTTTAGAAGAACTGAAAAGATCGTAAAATAGAATTTATAGCATGCATGTGCCATGATAGGTACATAATATTTATACCCAGTGGCGTGGCGTACGAAAAATGTTTTTTTTTTTCGTAAATCGTACCTATTATAATAGTGATGACAATATTAACATTTTTCGTACGTCAAAAATATCGTTACTTTTTTACGTATATTGTGTGTTTATCGATGAATCAACTGTTGTTGAGTCTTTGGTCGACGCTCGGAATATTACACATTACACATAAGACGCAATACTACACACTTGACCGTTTGATCCGTATTGAATACTAATTGGATTAAAATTTAATTTCAACATAATTATCGAGTTAAATTAAATGTAAGACATATTATTTTCGTCGGACCAATTAATAGGTTAGTTGGACGTAAATTGAATAATTAAATATCGTTTAACCGTGGCAAGGCTAATCTCGAGCGAGTTCGTCTGATAAAATTAATATAGATATCTATTATTTATATCAGTCTGTTTTGTTCTACACTGGATATTAGAAAACCACAATGCAATAATAATCTAATTTTTTTTGTAAGAAGCCACTTGTAATGTGATCAATGATCAAAATATTAGTGCCCATTATAAATTATCCAATCATATTATTGTACATATTAATGCGTAATATTGACAAAACTTACATAATTATATTGGTTAGTTATTATCATTGTTAATTATTGTTTTTGTACATTTTTCTAAGCATAATAATTTAAATATTGTTCATTACCATGTACAATAGTATGTATACTGTATAGTATCTTCAACAATCCAAAATAATTGAATAATTACATCATTATATCAATCACTATATCAAATAAAAAATAAAAGTGTCTATACTATGTACGATGTACATACCTACACCAAAAGTTATAACGTCATTATTTGATTTTGATTTTTAGAGATAGTATCTCTGATCATCTGTTATCTTTATTATTGAGGCTACATTTAAAAAAATTAATTTTGGTATCTTAATAGCTGAAAGACAATAATTAAATCATCTATTATACAATATCGTGTAGACGATAAGCAGCCCTACCAATTGTGTTTTAGAGCCAACATCAGATTTTAGATTAGATATTATTTTAATAATGAGATCAATAATAATCTACTGGAGGCCGTTGTAATCCCATTAAATACAAATTATGATGATTTACATTTTACATAATTTGACGGCAATTGGCATTAATGAATAGATACGATGGAAAACAAGAACTATTTGTTACATTCTATTCAGGTGATGTCATACAAATCAATTAATGCATAAACTAGCATTAAAAGTACTTAATAGTTAATATATTAAACAAAGTTACCAACTGTATTTGAGTCAATTATAATGACGTTTTTCACACCTCAAATTATTATATTATATTCATACATTTAATTTTTTTTTTTAAATTTGTCGTTGTCTGAAATTTTAGGATGACTTTATTGAATATTTACAGTGTTATTTTTCGTTTTAAAATGTTTTACCTATACTAAATAATAATTTGATTTATATCGACAATAAAACTATTCACAATTATTTTATTTATTTATTTATTTTTTTTTGTTCTATTTCAAAAATTAAAATAATAGAAAATATATTTTTTAAACAAACATTTTGTATTACACTTATATATTATATAAGTGTCTGACATAATAGTATAATGGTATTCTATCGTACCTATTTTTTTTGTTAATTTTAAAATGAACAATAGTTTTTAAAGAACACATAAAAACTAGTTTGATTATAAAATTTGTTCTGAAAAACGAAAACCGCCAATTTCATAATAATGTCCATTTCAGGCAACATATGAAAGTTGAGTTTTAAATGTAACACTTAAATTAAGTCACACACGTGTACACAAATATATATATAATATGAATAAAAGAAAGTCATCTATATTGTCCGAAACTATTGACTCGATTTACACGTGGCATGCATTTGTACAATTGTTTAATATTACAGACAGTTTTCCAGTTAAAAACATTCTATATCATGTTATATGAACTACCTAAATCCTACTTCCACAAAAGTTAGAGATAAAAATGTATTAAAAAAAGCCCTTGATGTTATTTATTCTGTTCTTACCACTATACATTAAAAAATGTATAATATTGTAATTTGCAATTCACCGTAAGGATAGAGTCTGGGTAGTACAACTGGTTATATTTATATATGTGCATACTGTATATATAATATACATGCAAAAAATTCCTTTCGAATTTGGAACATATCATAATAACATATATTATGGTATTATGGAATTGGATTAAATGCTATACAATTACGCTCGAGTAACCGTATTCGCTAGACACTCGTCTAAGAAGATTAAATTACACTTCGGCCAGATTAAAATAAAATTTTACCTATATAATATTATAATATCATACTAGTATAGCAATAATACCGATTTGATGATTTACGATACCTTTGTTTACTTTGATGTTATAACGTTTCATGCAATTATTATTATTATATGCCATTATTATGATTCATCTTATGCAAACGTAAAAGCATTTGTATACACATAGATCTATACTATAGCTGTTGTAATCTATATGATAAAACATCATATTTATTAGGGATTAGAATCGATTTTCAGTAATTTGTATGATTTTCAATAATATCAAACTGTTGTTATTATTCACATTTAATAAATTAAGTTTAGACTCTTATATTTAATATAATATGAAGATTTATATAATTGCATATAAGTAACTACGTAATGTTACGCATACCTAAAATAAAATTAAAGATTTATTTTGTGGATAACTAATTATTTTTGTTTGAGGTTTTCCTAAATAGTTACTTCTTTTACTTTATAAATCTCAAGAAATTACTTGTGTTTAAATATCTTAAATAAAAATCGATTAAAATTAATAAATATCCCCATACGATTTGTTTTACCATCATCAGAAATCAAAGTCTTTTGAAATTATTATTAAAAATGACTAATTAGCAATTAGTGCACATTGTGAAAACACTAATTATAAATATACAAATACCTGGAACAATTATTAAATAAAAAAAATCATCCTGTATTTTTTAAAGTTTTTAAGTGTCATATATTTATATATTAATAATAACTAATAACTAATAACCTACAAAATAGGATCGAATTATGAATTATCTCAATACAATTAATACATTTGTTATTGAGATAATAAATTATATTTTCAACTGACATTTGAAGATAAAATATCATCAAGCACGAAAGTAATAGTATATTTGTTAATATTTAATTAACATTTTATAAAATATCAGTGATCACTCGAGAACCAAGTCTGATCAAAAATAAAATAACTAATAATCAATTTGAAGTCTTAACCACGTAGACAAAAAAATAATAAAATAATAATGACGTCGTAGAGCCATGGACTTGAGTACCTATCTATTAAACTAATTACTATGCTAATACATTTTACTGAATTTAAATAAAGTGAACCCATCCAATTTTATAGCAATCGATTTTTGTCACATATTTACAGTAAGTAACTTAGAATAGGTTTTTTTCTTAAAAGCAATTAAAGTAAGTTAACTTAAGATTTGCAACATTCTAAAAAGAATATACCTAGTATCTTAGAACGAATAATAAACTTATAGTTGAATACATTTATAATTATTATTTATTAAAATACCTACCTACGTGTTTAGGGTCATGAAATTCATTGCATTTAAAGATAATTAGAAAATCTGCAGTGGCACACTATTAACACATTTGTTAAATTCGCAAAGAATGCTGTTTAAAAACATTGAGTACTTATATATCAATAAATATTTTTGTTTAGTACGAACTTGGATCGACTGTTGGGAGTAATGTGGTTGAGGCCGAGGATGAAGAAGAATATCCGTTTCAAAAGGCATACTATTCGTATAAAGTGCAATCTAATGAGGTAAATAATAAAAATAGTATAAGCAACATAAGGTACAGGGTGGCGCTTACGGGGATTTCAAATTTCCCGTATCAGTAAAATGAGAAACCGAAAAACACGGTGGTTGGCCACCCTGTCTACTATACCTATCGCTTTGAAATCGGAAACAATAATAAACATTAATATTTCAGTTATTAAAAGATGTACGCTTAGACCCGCCAATCGATTATGTAACACCCAAAGGATACAGCTTGGTATTGGAACCAATTGTTCATTTTTGTCAACTGGTGGACAAGAGTATAATCAAAAAATTTTCTGCTTCCGGATCAGAAGATGGGGTCTACATCAGTGTCGATGACGATTTGAGAGACCAAATGACCAATGAATCAACGATTGTGTACAAACTTAAGGTAGGTAATTTAACAATACACACACTACTAAAACACACAAGCTGCACCGAATGTATATTAAAAAAAAAACAACTAATATATTATAAAATAATATTGTGGTTGTATTAAAAACATCTATGAACACATAAAATAATGATATTCAGTCATTCAGAGAAGAGTCGTTGAGTCATAATGTTATAATATTTTATCTGACATGAGTACAATGTTATATACTTATATCATCTATTTTTAACGTAATCGCATACAGAAACATTATCTTGCTGTATTTGTTTAAAGAATTTACAACGAACAGGTTATCGATTTAAAAATAAGAGCATGAGTACATATTATTATTATTATTATTATTATTATTATTTTTATTATTATTGTTGGTATTTCATATTTAAGTGAAAAAATTAAAATTATGTAAATTTAACAATATATCTAAAAATAAAGTTGCCTTTAAGAGAAAACGATTTAACACATTTTAAGTCAAAATACCAGAAATTATACAAATTAAAACATGTTATGAATTTATGAGTTTTTATAATGGATATAGAATCATTAGCGGTTCTTATATTTGATTAGAACACTCTAAACAGAGAAATGAAATGGTTCCGAAAATATTAATGACATATAAGTAACATTGTACTTGAGTTTTTGTTTATATAGTATTTATTCAAAACTATATTGTTATTTAATTTGATTTAATTTATGAATAGATAAACTATTTACATTCCAGGCGATAAAAAAAGATGATCTCACAACAATAGGTGGTTCTACAACTGTACTCATCAGAATTGTACAATTTCTACCCATGCCAGGTTAATTTTTAGATTAAGTTTACAAAACAGGTATTTCATGCAATTTTCAATATTTCACTGTAGATACCGTACTAGCTTTTGAACAACCAAGTTATTCCATAAAGCTGTCTTATAGCCACATAGGCAAGGTTTTCAAATTTAAGACCATACAAACCACACACAAAGCAAAAGAAAAAAATACGGATAATTCGGATGGTTTGGAATTTGAAAATCAACCGGAAAACGATAAATATTTTTCAAAAAACGAATACTCTTTCAATGGCAATTACACTTTGGAATACGTACCAGGTATTATAATACATTGTTACGTTTAACAACACCAGTTACGTTGTACATGCTTATCATTTACAATGGACAATGGTGAACACTCTTACATAATATCATTTTTAATTTAGAACAACTTTTAACGAAATTGAGGATTACTGATGATGGTGAATTGGAAGTCTTGGAAAATATTGATGAAGGGTTCTACAGTTTTGACGTTGTAGCAGTCGACTATGGTCCTAATTCTACGACAGTTTTAAAAGACCGGTCCAAAGTAATATAAATAATATTGTACATATATTTAAAAAAATTGTATACGTTTTCGACTAACGATTTTACAAAAAATACTTTAATTTGTATCTATTGTAAATTGTTATGTTTACTTTACAGGTGAATATTTTTATCGACAATGTAGCGGCGTGTGATTCGTCCACGTCTAAATTCATCAGGGCATTCAGTAAGCATTATATAACCGAAGAGACTAAACTAATAACAGCTGTTCCGGGCACCGAGTCGGGCGGTCAATGTAGATTTTCGATATCACATCAATATCCGTTTGGTGGTAAGTACATAATAGTAATACATATTATGTTACAATCTAATTCAGTCTGAAACGATCGAGATAACATATTATTAGGTATATATACGTCGAGACACAATACCGTTTGGACTTTTATTGAACCGTTTAAAAAATACTGGGCTAAATCGTAATTTTGCAAAAGACAATTATTAATATTATACTATAATAATATGTATTGTAACTCAAGTTAAAATTCCGATAACTTTAGTTATAAACGGTAATGGTATTTAAAATCAATGGTAATATGTAACCAATTACTCAATGTGTTATGTACACGGTCACATTCGTATTATATTTTAGAATACCGCTCATAGAAATGGTCTTGCATACAAGCACTAAAATAATGTCCCGCAAAGTCATTATAATTAATTATTTACTTATAATTCCATAGTGTTATAATCGTATTAATATACATACATTTAAATATTTCATTTATAATACACAAGTTAAAATCATCAACACGATGATAAAATACGTTTCTGTAGTCGATTTATAAAGGTAGCGATGTTTGAAACTGTGGTGGTTTTTACTAAACACCAATTTTTTATTTTTTTATACAATATAGGTACTGCTCGTAAATTGCAAAATTAATACTATTATCCATTAAACATGCCTGATTACGATCGAATATTATAATATCATGTCGATTATTATCGCTAATATGTACTAGTATTACACGTGATAGTATAACATGAAATTACAGACATACTGTATTCTAATTATTTTCCTACGCGCGTATCAAATATTAAAACATAATAATTAAAAAGCAACACACATAATTCTGTAGTAGGTATTGCGACAGCGCCACGTGTCGACCTGCGTATGAACTCGTCTAATATATATTATATTTTACATGGTGTAAGGACGCCAACGGCTGTGTAGAAGCAACTCACTGCAAATTATACTATTCTGCTATTGTAATACATTGTAAGGTGTAATATTGGAGCGATGACGATGCATGAAGTTAGCCCCCGACTTTGTACCACCGACTCCAGACTTGTGCCAATATTTAGCAATTCATTTCAGTTTCCTCAAGTCGGAGGTCTAACTTCATGAACAAGACGTGATGGGATATGCTTAAAATAGTCCAAGTATAATATAGGTATTTTCCGGTGCAAAATGAAACGAAGCTTGGTCGAGGTGCGAGCCAAAAAAAAATCAATTATTCACAAAAAAAAATAGTAATTTTTCACTGTTACAATATTAAATTAGTATGTTATTATAATTTACTAGTTTGGAGAACAATTACATTTCTTTATAATACAATTCGGGATTTTGTGATTCTTCAGAAAAATATGAGATTTACATCTAGGAATTTCCCAAGATCGGATTTAATTATTATTTTGATATTAATTTAGAGTACCTACCTAGCGGTTGTGACGTTATATACCACTATAAAAAAAATGTAAAAGTTGAATTTAGTAATTCAGTAATTCCGGTTAAGTAACCACACTGGGTTATGTAAGTTTTAAAGTTTAAGATGGCACGGTGGTAGTTGTAGAAGGAGTCGTATATATTATATGTACAAGTTTATTATTTTGTCAGGAACTTGACAATATCTTAGGATAATAATAATTGTTTCTTTGTAAAATGATTAGAATACCTAACTAATTTTATATTTTCCGTGATTATCAGTGGGTATCTATATACGTAATATTCTTGTTAAAATTTAAAAAAATAACTATTTCTAATATATCTCATGGTAAGTGGCAACATTAATAAACATCGTTTATACACAAGTAGCTAACTTGAAACAAAACACAAAGTTCTAAAGTGTCCTAAAAACATTGAATCGTGATGAGAGTGTGCAGTAGACGTCGTAGCTTTTACAGATTTTTATTTAGGCGAAATGTTTTGAATGAACAAATATTATGTTGATATTTCCTCAATCAGTCCGAAAAACAAACTTCGATATTCGAATCCAAACGCGATTTCGGGCGCATTGTTTTGATAAAAATACATTATCGGACTCATTCATTGACTTTTGCGTTGTGTGCCCACACGGAGGCTGTATATAACATAAGAATAATTTTTTACATGGCAGGTTATAAGTAGGTAGGTAGGTATCTACCAGCGCAAGCTACCTACAGGCGCACTCGTAACGATCTCGCATGTTGCGAGAGTCCCACCCCCTCCCCCCCTTCCCACAAACCACCATTATTAAGCCTATTATTATAATACTATTAATATGTTACTATGAAAACGCCACCACAGACACTGCTCGATGAAATCATTAACTGTCAGAGTAATATTAATATTTTTATAAAAAAAAATACATAATCGGACCCGTTTATACTGGTTTTTCGCGATGTGAACCCACGCAGTGACTGTATAATTTAACCTAAGAATGTTTTTGTACACGGGTGGGTTACCATAATCAAGTAAGTATACCAGCGCAATATAGGTACCTACGGACGCGTTCGTAACGATCTCGCAGATTGCACGAGTCGACCATCCCCTCGGGCCTCCTCATATCGTTTGTCCGACAAAAAACGTTATTAAACGCAATAATATCACTGCCTACATAACAATATTGTACTTTTAATATCAGCTAATGCTGCATGTATAAGTACAATAAAATGATATTATGATCATATAATATTATTATTAATAATATTTTACCACGAGAACTCCACCACTAACAGAGCCCAATGAAATCATTAACCGTCCAAATACAATTATTATTAGATAAGATTTCGATGAAGAATGTTTCGTATCGTGTGTTTTATAATTTTTATATCCAAGCTCGTAATGATGGGCAAATATGAAGTTTCGAATATCGATACTGAGTATTATAATTTATGTTAGATAATACAGTTAATATTGTTACATAATTAAATGAACCAAGAATAATAGAAATAATTAATATCAAAATATATTACAGTAGTGTTAATTTTAATTGTTATTATTGATTCGATACAATTACAAATTTTTCCATACCTGTTACAAAGTACCAAAATAATTGAATTGTCAAGTTAAAACTTATAATTATTGTGAGAAATAAAGTATAATATTATGCATCTAAAATGAAGTGACAAAAAATAAATTATAATTAGTATAACACGTGATATGCATATAATACTTCTTATATTAAAAAGTAAGTAGGTATTTGGAATAATTGTTGTAATTCGATAAAAAACCGATATAGTTGTTCATCGCTGAATTGAAATAATTCATATTATACAATATACCTATATTATAATATGATTTTAAGATAAATAAAATCTCCATTAAATAGTGATAACTAAACTCATTAGTCGTGACTTTAAAAATCAAATTTTGAACCCATTCAATTTAGCAATATTTCAACTTCAACTGAAAAATATTGACTGAGTTAAATAATATTAAATATACTTACTGCAGTTTCTATCACCATGCTTCTACAAAGATATTTTATATTAAAACTTTTTTTCTCAAATTATTTATGTATCATTATTTTTTCACTAATTTTAGTGTGAAACTTAAACATAATATATATAAGCATATCATATTAAAGAATCAAAACCGGAAAATGTATACAATTTATATAACTTACAATAATTCTGATATAATATAATATTATACTATACTAAAGTTATTCGTTACTATTATTTATTATTCTTATGATTGATTTTCAATTGTTTCGTTTACTAGCTAAAATGCATGTTGCGACTTAATTACAATAATAGTGACCGGCGCCGATATAGAAACCCAAACAATAACATTAAATTTTATGTGCGAGTGTATTAACACAGTGCATTATATTATAGTCGTATCTATTGAAACAGTGTTATTAAAGTATTTAACTGCATCTGTCATTACTGGTTGTTTATAATATTATTTATTATATTGTTAGAATCTCACAAGAACCCTTTCTGCTTTCACCCTTGTTTACGATATAGCATTCCACCTTAAATATATATTGTAAACAGGATATTGCGTACATAATAATATTATAAAAGTTTAGAACTGTAGAAACAGTAGTTTATATTACAATAGAACCATAGGCATATAGTACAGTTATTATTAAATGTACGGTAAATGGCATTTTACTTGATGTGAAGACGTTAGTGACTACAGATATTTATTAGGTAGTTTAGACGGCTGATGATGATCAACTGAGATCTTTAATTATTTTTGGTATGCAATTATTCATACTCAAAAAAGCTACTTCGGCACGTGTACCGGATGGATTGAAATATATATACATATTTTTTTATCGTATACAAATATAAAACTAGACTGTACACAATAATTATTCATCTATATAACAGATTAATAATTGGCTAAACAGAAGTGTTTGTTGGGTCCCCCTCTACGTAGTACTATAATAATAATATAATATAATTGCTCGAAATCACAGGCACAAAACGAATTATTTGTCTGCATATACTTTCGATACACTAAAAGCAGAGTGGGTCTCGGAGGGAAGGAGCCAACGCGATTCCATCGCTTTTCTCCCAAAGCTCGTTGATGATAATAATAATATTATACGTCCGTGTCACTGAGTTGAAAATGACGAGTAAAAGTAGTATAATATTATTATATTATTACGCACGCGTGTAACAACTCGAGGCGGCGGTGGCGGAGACGTCGACATCGAGCTACATCCGGATATATGTCTAGTTTAATAATATTTGACTATTTAAGCCGCCTCGAGCGGTAGGAAAGAAAAAAATTGGCGCATATCACATTCGTATACGTCTTGTTTTCATATATGTATATATACACGAGCACCGTTGTTTATGCAACACACTTATATACGCGCTACTATATAATATAATATAATAATATGCATTATAAATATCACACACCAAACAATAATTACGGAGTAGGTACCTTCAATATAATATTTGCATAATGATATTTTCGTTCCGGTTTTGTATTTGACTCTATTTATCTCGAAACCGATATCGCTCGCCGATGGAAAAATAATAACACATACAACTGTACAACACAATATTATGTAACTCGGCCGTGTTTATGACACCGCAATAATACTACCTATATGGGGATAACACAGATCGACCTATCTTATGCTAATGTTGAAAAACACCCATTACTCGTAATTTATTAATTTAAAAATACGTGCATTTCATTAAAGATTATTGCTAGAGCCCCAACATCAATCATTTATAAATTAAAAATGAATAGTAAATATACGATCGTAGTTATTACGCGTATTACACTTATTTATTTTCACTTATTTTGTATTGGATATCGGGCTTATTTTTACATTTAAAGTTCTATATACGACTGCATAACATGCTCTAATATTTTATACTTATGACATAATTTTCAATTATATTTTATAGAATTATATTGATGTAATTATTTAATATACTCTTAAAGCATAATAAACATAATAGGTGCAATCAAAAATAATTAAGTGCTTCGGTATATGCGTATTATTGATCGTGAATTCATCACGTGGCCACAAGATAAAAAAAGTGGTTTACAAGAGCCAGAGCAAGCACTTTTACGCTTCTAAGTTGAATTGTATTTTTCTGGACATAGAATATATCTGAACATTTTAGCAAACATACTAATTGTTATTTATTAGTATAGTAAAGTGACAAATAAAATTCTTTTTTATTCGTTTAAAATTTTAAATATCTAATTGGTCAAAATCTGAACTTAAAATAACTGTAAAAAATATGTGTTAATATATCTACTTCTTAAATTGTTGGTTAAAGAATAAACTACTTATGAGAAACCTCGTTTTAAATTTCCAATCCTTAGCTATAAAAACTGAGCATTTAGCACAGTTTTAACTACAAAATAATTTACAAATTTCAGAAAATGTACAAAAGTTTTTATGTACATATAATATTTTCAACTCCTACTATAAAATCGTATGATGAATGTTGTATTTAATTTTCAAATGATTTTGACCCAACGAAAAAAATGTATTGACATTATTTTATTGAAAAAAAAAACCAAACAAACATTTCAAATGTCTATAGTAAATAGTTCAAAATGAGTCAAAATATTTTGAAAATTAATCATGTAGGTATAGAAAATTGTAAAATAAACATTTGACGAAAATGTCAATTCTCCATACAGTTATTAGTTTTTGACTTTCAATACAATAACAAAATCGTTCAATGAGAATTTTCTTTCAAGTGAATATTATATTATATTCACTGTTTTAGATTTTGATAGATATTTCACCATGATGACCAGGTAAAGATACATTACCATAATGTATTATTTTACAGTAATAAAAACAATAATATTAGATATTGCATTTGTAATATTATTATAATGTTGAATATTATGATGAACAGTTCATTAAATCCAGGCCGCGTTTTCTTATACCTACCGCAAAACTATTAACCGTCTAGCTGCGTAGTTGTCCGAACAAACGAGTTCCGACGTTCATGTACGGTGAGCGCCGTACACTCGTACACACGTCATATTATTATATTTGTATAGGTATAAAATATAAATACAACTGCAGCTGTAATATAATAATGTCTTTTCTCTCACAGATTTGCGTAACACATGTGTATTTCATTTATACGCATATTATGTGTGTGTGTGTGTGTGTGTGTGTGTGTGTGTGTAGCATTAATACGCGTAGATTGGCAACAAACGTTTTAATTATCCCCAAGACGGAATATCGAATAAGATGAACGTCGCTCGTGGCACGGTAATAATCAGTGGGTATAGAGAGGTGTTCCGACGACCGACGCGATGACGCGTATGTAACGTGTGTGAAGTTGGCCCACCCCGACATGTCCAAATTAAACCGGGCTAATTGTAAGGCGAAAGGAAAGCTCAATTTGTAAGTAATCACAAGTTGAATTTTAGAACAATTTGTTGGTTCAAGAAATGTCCAAAATTAACATGACGCTGCTATCACTAATACTAGCTACTCTCTCACCATCTAGTCCAAATTAAACGAGACAAAAAAAGCTCAATTTCTAAGTAATTGCATATTATGTTGATTTTTTGAATTTGTAAGTTCATCGATTCGAAGAAATGGCCAAAGTTAACACACATGTACATGTTTTTATGAGGTATTCGGAAATTGGTTTTGATACCTATATACAATTTCATCCAAATGGTCGAAACCAGCAGCTCGGAGCTCGGGATAAACACTTACAATTACATTACACTTATTACATTACATTTACACTCTCCAAAAGGCATTAATTGCTCTACAATCGAGCTTTTAAACAATAAACATTATTATAGTTATTAAGCGTTTTAACTTTTAAGAGACATAAATTAAAGATATGAAGTTAAAATTTTTCAAAAAATTCTACGTAACATTATTACGTGGAATGACGCGAGTAGAAAGAATTTTCCCAAACCTATTTTTAAATACTAGATCCCGCCCTATGTACGAATGTATTTTATATTTACGACGTGTGTTGTTAAAACATATTTGTATGAAACGTAATGTATATAAGCCTATTTTATAATCGTCATACCTATAATACCGGGTGATCCAGTTAACGTTTGACTCATTATTTCAAAAGCTACTACACTTTTTTAAAAATAATTTTTCTACATAATTTTAAATCATAAAAAAAAACATTTTTCTAAAAAAAAAATTGAACGTTAATTGGATTGCTCAGTGTATATACCTATGAATCTACCAGTATAGGTACATATTATTTTAATATTATATTTATAGCACAAACTGATTTTTTTCTCAAATGATTAATTAAAACAGTTAGGTATAATTTATATCTTAGGCGGATAATTATACCATCGATCTCTCGTTACATAATTTATCATATCACATCATGACAAAAATATTCTTCATATTCCTATTGATTTACGCTAGTGATTTCGTTTGTTAATTATTAAGGTTTTCATAGAGAATTTTTTCTTAACGAATTTTAAATGTATTTTGTGCAACTGGTTATTGATACGTAGAAATAAAACAATGAATCTGCAGTTATAGATTTCTAAAAACAATTAAAAAACCGTGAATGCATGCGTTAATATACTTTCATGAACTGAAAATAAAAAACTGCAATTAAAAATTAAATTATTTTTTCAGCTGTTAGAGATATTTATGACTGTAACACTAATATACTTGAAACTAGTATAGATTATTATTATTATTTGATTATATTATTTTTAATACTCAATTTAAAAATTATTTTTAATTTTTTTAATACAAAAGTCAGCTTACACCACCGATCAACTTGTGTTCAAAAAAAATCTTAGAAATAGATAAAATTATAATAATATAGTACAATATTATGAACTACCTTTATAATAAAACATTATTTCGCACAGTGGGAGCGGACTTCTTCACAATCGACAAGAATACGGGTGCTATTCACGTGAAAAGTCCCATCGACCGGGAAGCGTACTCGTTCGAAGACATGGAGGAACCGTCCGTTTACTTGAAGCTAAAGATCCACTGTCCTCCGTTGGATGATCCACCTGCCGTCCAACCTCTGCACTTGTCCGAATTGAACCAAATCGTCTATGATCCGACTACCACGTTGGTGCAATTGGTCATCGTGGACACCAACGACAACGTCCCGGTGTTCGTCGACAATCACATAGTCGTCGGGTATCCCGTGCAAGAAGTGGCCAATGATATTATCCCCAATTACCTCCTGCAGGTCAAGGTAAATAATTATTGATCGGTATTGTATTTAATGCATAAAGTACTAAATAATTATTATAGTTGTCACCGTCTTAATTGTTTTGTCTTTAAACATCGAAAGTGAAGCAAAAAAAAAAACATAAGTAGTGAAAAACTCGTGTGGCTGACGAAGTGTACAGTAATATGGTTAAAGACTAATTCGTTCGTTAAAATACGATTATTCTATTGACCCGTCCCAAATGTTTTTCAGTGACCCTAACAAATACTAAATATTATCGTATGATGTGTTTTGCTTATCCTCTGTATACATAAATTATGTTTAGAAATAGTATATAGAAAGTCCCAAGTTCTATGTATACTATATTGTAAGTATTTTATAATTTATAACACAGTGTATTGACACAGATTTCACGTACTTCTGTAGTTCTGTTTTATCTTAGTTTTTTTCATATATGCGTTTAAGTCTATTAAAATAATAACAAGACAGTCGATGTTATATAACCACAGGTGACTGAACGGTCAATAGAAATTATCGAATCAACTGCCAGTTATAATACCTGGTTATCGGTATACATCTCTCTATTCAACTATTATCGTCGAGACAATCACTACATAAGTCCGTCATTAAATTTATATGTGAAAATCATTGTCTCTACACCTGCTTGTATTCGTGTATATAACAGGTACACAGGGTTAGTCCAAGATATCTAACAATTCACGTTATACATTATTTAAAACACCTAATGAGTCTGGTACATTTCAATGGTCAAAACAAATTTGAGTTTAGAGTCCTATCAAATAAATTAATTTTTTTTAAAAGAAGTGTTAACCAATCAGAACTTTATCTAGGTAGTATATTGAGTAATAGTATAAGGATAAATACTCGTGCTGGTGTGTAGTACGTATCAAGTTTTCGCATCAACAATACGTGTGAAAGTAAAACGTATTATCGGGTACCTACTATATAATATGGGTACACTAAACATTACACAGAAATTATTATTAATGTAAGGTATTGTACGGTATACTATTATTACAACGATAATAAACAGTATCGACGTTTTAGATAAATCGTGGCCGACAATTTTGGAGAACTAAATATTGTTATGTATGTAATATGTTATTAATTATTACACACGTTCTTATGGCTATATTTAAATGTGCATATATCATCCGCGAAAAACGAACGAGGTCGATCAATATTATTATTATTATTACCGTACTATACCTGCTACATTGACGCGGCTGTGATTTAAAATTGCTCACGGGGTCTAGGTCGCGCACGACATAAATTTACTGTGACCGGACATCGGAAACGTCGCTGTACTAAATATATATGTATACATAATATAACGATGTATATTAGAACGTAAAATGTGTTTGACGTGGTGTGTTTGAGTCGATCTAGTTTATAATAGTATATAGGTAGGTACACGCAGACATTCAAGGCGAAATGGAAGCCTTAAATAGACAACGGCGACGATGACGACGACGACGACGGTGCGATTATTACATGGCCGAAGCATGCTGGTCCAGGTCGAATTATATTATTATAAAATCGCATATTATAGGTGCAAGTACCTCGTGTACCCGCTGTCCTTATTGAAAAAAAATATCGCCCCAGCGGCGGCGCCGGTCGTCAAAATTATTAGTTTTGAACAGTCGCGCTTATGACCGCAAACTATAACGTCCGAACCGCTATGATACTCTCAACTGCACAAGTGCCCGAGTGTTCAACACCCTATATAATAATAATATATAACATTATTATAATGCGCGTATCATAGGTATATAGTGGTTATAATATACATCAAAATATCATTATTTTATTATTATTATCGAGAGCCCTAAGCTGCGCGGTAGAAATCACCCGCGGCGGACGCGTTTTTTTAAAAGTTTTTTTTGCAATCGCGTTTCGGCGTCTGGTACGTTTATTATTATTATTGTTATTACTATTTTGTTTTCGTCGAACCGTGATTAATCGACCGACGACGAGAAGAAAGTCGTGTCGCTTAAGCTGCCTTCCCTGCACTCTGCAGCAGTGGAGATACCTATTATATTATTATATATACCTAATATGACGTATAGGTACTATGGGCAAACTATATATAGATACGCTGGAGGTATTGCTGCACGAAAGTACAATAATAATGTACACGTATATATTATACATATATATGTGATGTGTATGTACACACGCAATTTAATACTAATTATTGTAGCCATTGTCTTCTATGCACCTATATAATAATATTATATTGTATTATTACTTATAATATTACATATTATTATTATTGTCCGCGACAGTGTAAACATTTATCGTAATCTGCCTCTTCCTTTTGACCTTTGACAGTAATAAACAGTGTTTATTGATTTATGCACAATGCACGGCGTGTATTATATGTAGATATACAACGATAAATTAACACCGAACCTACAATATTATAATAATATGTATAGGTAGTTGTACGATCGCACACATTTATAATGTGTGTTGTATGGATTGCACCCATGCATCCATATTGTAATGATAATATTATTGTGACCGATATACTCTATGATGTTTACTACCTACTTCGCGTTCAGACAAGTGTTTAAACATGGGCGGCAAAACAATCGTAAACACTAATATTGATTTATTTTTAAGTATGACCTATACGTATAATAATATGCAGGATCTTCCAAATTACGTGTGACAAAAATTATGGAGTCTATGTCTGTTTCTTATTTTTATCTCACAACATTTTGGAAACTGTACATCGTGTGATGTATAATATACCTATAGTATATAAAGGGTGGTTTTTATTTGATATTTCATGATTTATTTCAACATAAAAAAAAAACTAAAATCGCGGTTAATAACTTATTCATGTTCAAAATTCAATTTTTATGTATCGAAATATTAAGAAAATAATGGTAATATGGAATATGAAATCAAAAATTAATGTCTTCATTTAACAAGAAAAAATGGATAGCACTAACGTTTTAAATTATCACTGTAATTATGGTAACAATTTAAAATACCACTTTGTACAGACTTCAGAGATATTTTTAAGAATGTTAATATTTTTCGAAAAAACGGGTGTTAAAATTGTCGCAATGTATGTCTGTTATCTGAATACTGAAACAATAGTATAAATGTATAATATGGTACTTTCGTAAACAATATGTTGAATTATTCTCTCGTGTAAAACGCAATTGAAATATTTAACTTTTTCTCAAAATTCCAATATCATACTGCTAATAACTCGCCGATCCATAATGAAAACGAATAATGAAATAATGTTTTGAAAGTTGTTCTAATCGAAACGATTTAGCTTATTATCAAATCATACCATTTTAAGTTATAAGAGTAGTTTTTAACATTAAACTACAAATATTTATCGCTGCCGCAGAGATTGATTTACTATACTTATTAATTTATGGCATTACATATTATCTTAATATTCACATACATTTCAGTAAATTATTTTTCAGAACACAGTTATATATAGGTTGCTACGAATTCATATCACGAGCGCTATTTTTCATTACCTGTTCCGTATTAGCACATTTATTTATTTTCACAGTATTGAGTAAGTATACTATCTCTCACAAGGCCACAATTATTAAAATTGTTGACTTAATGTTTTAAAAACATAGTAAATACTGCAGAATACATGAAGAATTGAGTTTTTCATTTCTATAATTTTGCATAATATAACAGCAAAACTAAAACAAGAAAAAAATTAAGCATCTATATTTTACTTCATTACACAACTAGTATTGTTAATATTCAAGAAGGCTGCAAATACTTAAAAAGGGTATGTTTCTTGAGTTAAGAACTTGGAAGTAAAAAAAAAAGATGAAATATTAACTTAAAGTTGTGACTGTATGCTATATTTTTACTTTTATGGTTTAATTTTTATGAATAACATCATCCGTGCCTTATATTTTCCGTAGTCACATTTTGCAGAAAAGGCTTTTATATTATTCTAAAATAATATACTTTACATACTATCTAATCTTTTCTAAAATTCGAATATTGATTGTAAGTTTAAAAAAATGTTCAAACAATTATTTTTTACTTAAGTTATAATCTGCCTGTGTTCCATTATACTTCAAATGTACCTTTCAATAATTATTTATCTGTAGCTACATATACAATTTAATGGCAATTTAATACTTAACGTAATATTTACTCATACAATTCTTAAAATTAAACCTTTAATATTTCAATTAAATCTACCGGAAACCCCACGCAATAACATGATACATTTCGATAATAATCAGTTCAAACACTTATATGTTGATACTTATACCTATTGTGTTGCACATTATACCAACAGTTAACACAATAGGAGGTTATCATTACTGCAGTATATTAAATTGTATGCGTAATTATATATATTACGTGTGTATGTAACGTATATTTATCGGCTTGTCGGATTCACGGTCATCAGATTATATTGAAATAATATATTGAAGAATTATTATTTTACGCTAGGTATCTATACAATACAAATTATAAATCAATAATATTAATATATCATAATAGGTACCCATCATTTGACTGCAGAATACCAGTAATAGGCTATCTTTATTTAGTGGGATATCGTGAACAATATGGCACATTTTTTAAATTGAAAAAAATATGTCTCTTAACAATTTCAAACCTGTAATTTTCAATAAAGTACAAAAGAAATTGACCGATTAAAATAACATTTTATTTCATAGTACTTAATTGTTGAAATATAACAATAAAACTAAAAAAATTCTAAATGAGATATGTAGTACAAAATCAAATTATTAATTAGCATATATATTTGATCTTGTTTAAGAAAATATAGTATATTCTAACAAATTAATTTGCTTGAGAAATCGAAAAAAAAAATAGATAAAGTTCTGAAATAAAAAAAAATAGAATTATATAAATATGTTAGTACAATATATTTTTAACTTAGATTATTTAATTAAAAAGTTTTAAGTAAAAATGGTTAAAGGCACTGAATTTTCTAAATATTACAAATTATTTTGTGTAGTAGACAATAACCAAAAATTAATTTTTGAAAACTATGTAGGTATAATGTATTCCATTAAAATTAAATATGTTGAAACTTGATTATATATTCGTCTTTTAAATTATTATCGATTGGATAAAATATTCATGATGTAGAAAATGTCTTAACTATCTACATACTTAAGTGCAAGTTATATGTTTATAATAGTTTTTCCAGTCTTTATAGATTTATTTTAATATAAACAAATATTTAATTTTGGCTTTTTTTAGTTTTTTTGATTTTCTGACGGTGAATGTTTGTTAAACAATTTTTTAATAAAAATTTGGTTTTAGTGATAGAGTTAATATTTCATACTATTTGACATTGTTGTATTGTATTATACATTGAAATACTAACCATTTCATTCATATTTGTCTTTATATCGTTATTATTTGTATTTTCATGTTTGGCAACTGTAAACCCAATAATGGTTTTAAGGTTTCATAATAAAACTAGGTTTATTCTTTCTTGTCAAACTTTTTTATTGAATTCCGTTCAAAAATGTCCAAAAAGTTTTTTAATCATTATATTCCTCATATATATTTTTTGGTCGTTATAAATGGTTCATACTTTCTATCAAATATAATCTGCAGAGAAGACAAATTGTGTAAACATGTCTGGCTGATCAAAACTTCTCAAATTACTCTGAAGAAAAGAATTCTTTCTTTAAATTATATACAAGTAAAGTAAAAATGAATTTTCACAACATATGTCTGTTGTCTGTTAAGAAATATATATAATACGCACAAGGCGTGAAAAATGCACACATATAATTTACCAACATAGTAGGTACCATAAAGCTTATCGTTTTTTTTTTCAGTTAGGTATAAAAATATAATGAATAAACGTGCAATAACGATGACAGATGGAATGACATAAAATAATCATTATAAAATATCTAATACAAGAATAGTGTAAACATATTTTTTTTCAAACAGTACGATGGCTTTTGGTTTCAGGCAACAGACAAGGACGCGGGAAAACACGGAAAAATACAATACTCGTTGAGAGGAGACGACGCTAACGACTTTATCATTAACGAGGAGACAGGAACAATATACTGTAAGAGTCTGGTGGACGACAGCACTGCAAGCAAATCGTTTGTGGTGGTGGCGAAGGACAACGACGGAAAATCCGAAGGATTGGAGTCCACGCTGGCTATTACCGTAAGCATCGGGATTCAGTGGCGTGACGAATTTGACATTTTTCAGATGCCAGTTGGATATTTTACCCACCCTACAGTGCCAGTGCCCCATTAAAGGTTCACTGAAATATTTGTAACCCTCATTACTATAACATTTTTCCATACCTAATTAATACTTGATTGTTTCTCATTCGCCTTACACCATTTAAAAAATTCAGAGGCTGCCGCCTTTCGATTACCCCGTTTTCTACTCCATCACTATTGGTTCGATATATATTTATTGCATCGTACAATATACATCAAACATGGCAGTATTGTGATCTCTTCGTTTGGCGTTCTAAGGGTCGCGGCCAGAAATAAAAACTTGAAATACACTCGAACCTAAGGATAACTCGGTGTTGTGGTTCATATTATATAAACGATTATCAAATACTATGAAACGATCTTAAAGTAGGACTATGGTCGGACGATTTCAGGTGAAGTTCCTGACTTTCTCAGACATCATCCGGGTGAACGTCCCGTTCAGTACCACCGAAGATCACGCAGCCGTCGAATCACAGCTGTCCGAAATATCGGGTGTCAGAATCATGTCACTCACCAACGACGTGGTCAACAATTTCGTGGACGATAAGTGGCGCACTGAGAGGATGATGACTGTGTACGGGGTGAACAACTCTGATGGTTCGCTGGTGCCGGCATTAGAATTGGAAAGGTCAGTGGAAATAATTTATTAAGACATACAATTTTAATTTAAATTTAATTAGCACCCACCCAATGTTAGTTTAGGGGGGGGGGGGGGTGTCCTCTTTATAGTCAGATATGTGATGCTTTACAAATTGAATATTGCGAAACACGATAACAAATGATAATATATTATTATTGTTGTTATTATTTTTACAAATAATGAAATTACAAACTCTTTGATACAACTTCAGATAGTACTGTCTATACTACTTATGGTACTCTATGTTGTATAGTATATCCGTCCCTCGAGCCTTTTTAACCGAGCTACATTTTCGAATTACATTATAAACAATATAAATGATAATTAAAATGTATATTTTGAATGACCCTTTTTTTGCTCTCTGTGCTCTGACCTGTTAGATTTTAATTTTCTAAAAATTGGCCCCCTAGTAACTTTGAGTTACCCTGCCCATCCCCGGTCCATACAGACGATTAATTGGTAGAGGATGTGAAAGGTGGACTTTAATATTTGCACCCCTCTTTTCTTTATTAATTAATTAAACTTTTTATTTAAAATGTATTTTTAAAGACCTAGATATAATGTTATAATAGAGCATAATATTGGATATATTATTTTTCAGATATCTAGGACAGAACTCCAAAATTTTGGGCATAACTAAATTGTTTAATATGAATGCCAATAGCGAAACAAGCACCGTGATGTCTCTAGTGTATGCCGCGATGTTTTTCCTGATGCTTTCAATGGTAGCCGTGGGTCTGTTATATTTCGGATACGTCAAGTGAGCACACTCGTTATATTAACATAATAATTCGAAGCTTCGCAAGTTAACAATTTGTTTGTATATAACAATAGCCTAATCTATTTTTTAACCATCTCAAATACCATCTTCATTACTAAAAAAAAAAAATACTCCAAACATTACCAAAATATTTATTTACATGAAAAAGAAATACATTTAAAAAAAATGTATGCCAAGTTAATGGAAATCCGAAAGTAACTTGTTAAGTTAAAAAATTAATATAAAATAACTTTTGTAAGTTATCATTAATTTTTTAACTCTTGCACGACCAGTTTTGCATAACATTATTAATTGTATTATTATAGTGATTAATATACTTATGTTTAAATAGTAATTTACGAATCGCGTTAAAAAAAATATGTAAAAATGGTTCAAACCGAATTTCGTTGACTTTATTACCGAATGCTGTCCATCATAATATGATTTTATATGCTATAGGAATGGCCGTTACTTGTCGTGTATTTCGAGTCCGTCTACGACGCCGCTGAAAGACGATATCGAAAACATGTGAGTACCTATACCTACGCAGAGACCATAAAATAACTTGGCCATTTATCGCATGTCTGCTCCACGTAATGATATTATTATAATAATATATATATTGTATTATAACATAGGTACCACGTGCATATTGCGTATACACGTAATATTATATCATTGTACGTCAGTTTAAACCAGTTTTTTATTTATTATTTTTTTTTTAACAAACGTTCACAGGAGTCAGAGCAACTGGATTACTACTTTCAACAGAACCAACCTGACGTCAAATAGAGTGCGATTCCCGGGGTGATTATAAAATAATTTTTTTATTCACAGTATCGACACGATATATCGGTGCAGCATTATATAATATTCTGATTTTCTATTGTCCAACGATGCGTGGTGTTTTTTATGTTTCGCAGAAATATCAACTCCGAGGCGGTGCCGTGTAGATCCAAAATCGCGGACAACGCCACCGTGGTCGTGGAGAATAGCCTGTACGAGGCCATACCGCCGAAACGAACCTGCACCGCCGCCGTCCTGGCCGTGAATAATAATTCCTCGATTAATAGACTTGAGTAAATATTCGAGGAGTCCCGTATAATAATAATAATAATAATAATAACACACACTTAAAAATAATATACCGAGTGGTTCGTTTGAAATACATATTATACAGTTTTATTTTCATTTTTAGTTCTAAGATATCCTTCGAAGACGACTTGATAAAGTTAGAAAAAATGGACGAGGCGTTTTCGCCCACGGACGACATTTCTTTTAACTATTGAGTATCGACTGCCCGCGACGGTTAAAATCACTATAGATGTTCGATATTGGTTCCGGTTCGACGTGTACATTTTTTTATCTGGATAGCACTCTCCGTACACAGATTTCTATACACCTATAGGCTATAAGGCATATTATTACCTACCTATATAATACTGTTAATATGATAATTGTATATTATGTTTAAGACACGTTTACGAGACCTTACAATACTTTTATAATATGTTTGCACATGTTTTAGTCGTTCAACAGTCACCTTGAATATTGATAAGTCCTTGCCCAATACCATATTTTATGTTTTATATTATATACTCGGAAGCTCATTCAATTTTATTAAGCTATAAGCTTAAAATATCGACAGCGTTAAAAACCGTTACACTTTTTTGCAAATAGGAGTGGTAATTTTTTTTCGATGATATTACTATTATATTAACCTGTTATTAAATTCAACGATTCGCCAATTTCAAAAGCGCTTACCGATCACCTTGTAACACATATTTTATAATACCGATGCGGAATTTAATTAAGATAATAGCCCGCATACACAAACACTGGTAATATCATTTAATGTACGTGTGCATGTGTGTGTGTGTGTGTGTGTTTCAGTGTTTTTGTGTGCATATGCATGGATCAATTTTTAATTATGATTAGTTGAGTAATTTTAAAATGTCGATTTACCATGAAAAAAATCTGCTGCTCGTGGCTTGCTTTAGGGTCAAAACGTGTCCGGCTATACGTGCATCTATTTGCAGAAATTAATCTATATTAAAATCCTATTATCAAAACGATATACTTGAGAATAAGCGAGTCAAATCTATTACATTTATGAGTTTATGTCACTGTTTTGTATAATCTATTTAAGGAACGTATCATTAAACTGGGACTAGATGGCACAATATTTCGTGTTGTGAAACTAAACATTAAAATGTCATATTTTTGCAAAACTATAATAATACTTTAAGTAAACTATTTAATAATAAAACTTTATTGATTTTGTGGAGGCTCAATAATATTTTATTCAAATCATCCATCATTAACATTTCAAATATAATCATACTATAAATATTTTTTTTTTACTTTCATATTTTATTTTATACATTAATATTGGTGTGAACCATAATTAATTTCAAATCAATATTCTTATGCATAAGGTGCCGTACATAATATTTAATTTAATATTGATCTCAATTACATGTGTTCACAAAATGACTATCAACAAATGTTAAAGGTTCCTTAAGTGTAACTTTATTTTGAAATGACGTGTAATTATTATACCTAGTTGTTTTTTTATAATTTTAAATAAATCAGTAATTCAATTATGTAAAAACCATAGTCATCACGTCTGAATGGAAAACTTATATTTTCAATAAATGTATTCAATTCGCATACTTACTAACAAAATGTCGAACACAAATACACTGAAAATCTTACATTCACCGTTTACGTGAACACTAACCATTTTAAAAAGGTAGTTAATGATATTATAATTTTTCTTCTTTCATAAAGATAATATATTCTGCGTATATTTATTACCTATGTTATTATAGTTATTATTTGATTTAACGTTTAAACTTTATATAGTATGAAGGAATATAATTTTCTTATACCCATCTAAGGATAGTATTGTAATATTTATATAATAAAATAGGTGTACATATTGTTTAGAATACATTTAAGATTTTGTTTTTATATTTTAGTAAATATAATATAAATAATTGTATTAGCAGCTGAATGAGATCAATTGTAAAATAATATTTACCTATTATAAATTATGTATGTATATAAAAATGTTTAAATAAATTCGTAAATCGTAATACAGTTTATATCATACGGCATAGCGCAATGAATACTCAGATTTTCTTCCTTTTTTTAAACAATTACATATTTCAATATTTGTATACATATATCCGTACCTCGGTAATTTAAATTGTAAAAAACAAGATACAGTTCTATACTTAGACTTCAAAGTCTGCCCTTTCTTAATGGGTATCCAATTAGTAATATTTCTTCACGTACATAGCAATTATTCCCTATTAAATGTAAACATATTTATATATAGGTTTTAAATTAGAATTTGATTGACTTTCTATTGGATTCTTAATAACTGTGTCATACAACAAATCCATGAACGTTTCCCAGAGGCCCTCTTGTCGTAGCCATATTTGTTTCCTCCTCAAACCGCTGCCGCAGTTTTGCGGAATCCACATATTATTATCGATACATGTACCGCGGTCCACTTTCATAACACCGATAATGATAAAAAATAAATATAATTTAAACGTTATAATTATTATTATTAAACTTTAAAAAAAAAACCAAACCAATCTTCGGGTAAGGGTTTATTGGCATGCCGCACGGTATGTGCAGACCTATATAGCTACATCGGAGCAGCACCATAAAACAATATACCATGTGTACATATTATTATTATGGATATAATATAGTTACGACGCTGCAATATCGCGTATAATAATATAATATTATAAATCGGTAATATTATTACATATAAGCACCACTGAAGGCGGTCGGTACCTGCGACGAAACCGGTTCATATGGGTATAATTAGTGTTGGATTGTCATCCGCGCGGGAGATTATACAATTTGCCCAGATACGAATCGAGGGAGATAGTGTGTACCTATATTATATATAATAATTATTAATATATATAATTCTCGTCTATATAATATAATATGATTTTTTTTTAATAAAATATCTATAAGTAATATATAATATTGTAATACAAGCTGCAGCAACGCGTAACACTGCACGCGAATTATCTCTCTCTCTCTCTCTCTCTCTCTGCATATATTTTTTTAAAATATATTATAATAACCCTCCAGGGATACTCTCCTCCGCGATACTGGATCGTGATGTATTGTGTTACGGGCGGACTGCACGAGCGTTTTGAAACGGATGGCTCGAGTACGCCTAACTCTATTATACAGAGTGATTCATCAAACAATTAGTGTTCACCCCCTTTTTCTCCATCAATTATGTAGTTGTTCAAAATCTGAATTTTTGAATTTTCAAGTATACCTAAAGACTTCCTACATCGGTGCTAGGTATCAAATTCTTGACATTTTTTGTACTAGGTACCTATGGAAATAAAAAATGTCTTTATTTTCAAAAGAGAAACTCTCCTTTCTCAATTAAAACTGTGTGGCAGATAACTTTTTCGAACGATTACTGTTTGAGTTATTAACTTTATGTGCCAAAGTTAATAAATTATTAGATGCATTATAATATAATATTGTGTTTACAAGTTGGATAAGTAGGCTATGTAGATTTGAAAATTGTATTCATTAATATTAATATCCATCAAACGTTTATCATTTCCAAAGTTGGTCCAAGTATAATAAATACTATCAGTGTAGGGACCACGTTAAATATTTATCGAAATATTTAACCGTGAGCAATTTGTAGGCTCAATTTTTCCTTACAGGGCTCAAGACCGTTCATTATGGGGCCCCTTCTAAAAACTGAGTCATGAGTCTTTGGTGTGTAAGGCTGACACTAAATACTAGATCCAATAATAAATCTAATTTGTAATTTTCTAAAACTATTTTTAATGAATATTATATATATATATATACTTAATTTATATTATTATATACCTTACAACGAACGGTTGCATAACTGAGAAACTAAAAATCCACAAAATAATTTACTGTAAGAAAGGTGGATTTTTATTTGAAAAACTGAAGTTTGTATCACCATAATTTGTATAAAAAAATCTCAATAATTTGAATATAATATAATGTTCTTAAGATACTCGTTTTTTAAAAGTCCAAAAATCATAATTTTGATTATTAGTGCAAATAATGGGTGTTAAAATCCTCAGAAAATCAACCTGTATATTATAAATATTATAATTTATAGTGATTATAGGGTGGTGTCCTTTCCTAAGAGTCTAATTACACTAGGCAGGCTGGTTGGCATGGTTAAAATAACGAATAAAATAAACCGAAAGTGGGATTTCCGACAAAACGCGCTCCCCCAATTTGTCATCGACCGGTATGATGTATATATAATAATATTTACAATAATTATTATGCATCATGATATAGACCTTGGCGCGACACCACTTTACCTACGGTCTATATCGGGCCCGTGGCGGATTCCAATATTATACGCTCGTAATATTACTATTATTATTATTTTTCATTTTGGGCGGCGTGACTCGCGTTTGACCCGTCATCGTTGTACTCTCAGAGTACGCGTATATTATGTTTATGGTAAAATGGTCGCCCGCGTGTGGAAGATCAAAACACACACGCTCGGCGTACGATTACGATCGCGCAGCGCACATTCCGATCTCGAACGTTATTATGATTAATGACATTCATATATATGTGTATATATATACACATTGTACTTACGTATATACCGTATTTTAATATTATATTGTAGAATACAACTGCTGTACGGAGGTGGTCAGATATTATATTATGATTTCATTTTTTTTTTCAATCCACCGCCGCCGTAATACGATAATAATAATAATTGCAATATTGATTGTTATGGCGGGATGATGCCCCGGGCCCGTGCAGTGTTGTTTCGCAACACACACGACTATTATACAGCAGTGGCGTGTAAAAATCGATTAGACGAATTATTATATGATAATATTATCGAAAATAATTGACAACCTGTTAGTCTCGGGACAAATCTTCAGCACTGCAGGTTGCACAATATACTAAAAGCTGTAGTCATCGTATCTCGGTGTCTACCTACTGTTTTCATTTTTATTGAATATTATTTTAATTACGGTGATAATATACCAACCAAAACAAACCATCACTTACGACGTCATATGCAAAAATATATATTTTTAAATCTAATCTCTCAACCGCATCGTTTGTAGCAATTAATTTTATGCCGTAGAAAATTAGAATTTATACCCAAAAGAAGGGTGTGGTATAATATGGCCACGGTATATAGAGTACATTGGATGTAACACTATGAACAGCTTAATTGCAGCTATAAATATAACCACCACGCAACTAAGGGTAAGTACTTAGAAGGTGAACATAGATACCTTATAAAATATAACCTATTTGTTACCAGCATTATACGTTGTGAGCCGAGTGGATATCTCGACTGAGTGACCTATTCACAGATTCAGATATGTACAAGTAACGAAGTAAAACCTCCTTATAACGAAATCACTCGGAACCAAATGATTTTTCCGTGTAAAAGAGTTTCTGTTTTAGGGAGACTAACATAATATACGAGGGATATAGGTTATACAGGACCGTTGTTATTTTCTGTTGTAAAGAGATATCCGTCTTATGAGAGGGTCTGTCATAAGGATGTTTTACTGTATTTACATTGTATAACATATTATAATGTATAGTTTATAATACAAGGTTGGTTATGGGAATAGGGCCAAAAATAAATGGGATTTTCAAAACTCAGAATGGGAGTGAATAATTCTTCGGAAGAGCTATTTTATCAGTCCGATAATACCTTTAAGTTCCCTATCGCTATAATTTAGTGGTGAGGTGTTGTTCACCATAATATGCGTTCAAGTAGAAAATGCATTAAGAGCCGACATTGCATCAGTTGAGACGAAGCCTCCCTTCAGCGCATTTTTTCAAGAGTTTTTAGACCTTCATGCTTCATGCTACGAACAAGATAATAGACATTATAATAATTTTCTCGATTTTATTTCTAAAACTTGAAAAGTCACTGATATTTCCCTGCCAGAAAATATAAATAAAATGACCAAACGTCTACGTTTATCCGGTTGCATCCCTTATTCCGGCGGCCCACCAGCACCCTCAATCGCGTGGATCCAATTCGAATGCACGGAGCCGACCTTAATGAGTATAAACTATAGAGGTCTGTGATCATCCCCCCCCCCCCATCCCCCGAAACAACGTTAACTGGCGTTTGGCGTACAAAAGTATATTTTACAATAGTGTTGTTGTACCTATATTGAAGAGAGCTGTCTGAGATCAGTGAATATACATTAACAAAACACTACAACATTATATTATACATTTGTATGTAGTTGCATATACATATAATAATATTATATTATTACTACCGTGTCATTTAAAAACCGTTGAAATGTGCAAAATGCGAGTTTCGTTAACGGCCGAAAAGAACATATTATTATTATAGGTAACCGTCTTTTCGTATCATAAAATATTATACTTTATACACATAGGTAATATCAAGATATATTAATATAATACGTATTTACATTGAATCGTTATATAGCAATAAATTACGGCGTTCTGATATATTATATACCTATAACTATATAATATAGTGCACGAGTCATGTATATAATATATACATATGTGTAAACACTTTCAGCGTTTAAAAGTGCTAAGACCCACGCACTTATGCCATATTATACTTATACAGCAGAATAGATAACATGTTTTTATCGTAATATGATTTTTTATTTTAACGCGTTTTTATTTCTATAATATTATATGACTCACGATCGTTTGCATTC